ATCCCTACTGCATGATCAATTTCAGACTGAAGAAGCTGGTAAAAATCTTCAATTTCTTCATCTTTGGCATTAGTGGTTGGTGCATAAATTTGAATAATAGTCGTATTAACTGGTCTTCCTTGTAGGCATATGGATATTATCCTATCACTGACAGCACTGTACTTCAGGATAGATCTTGAAATGTTCTTTTTGATGGTGAATACAACGCCATTCCTCTTCAAGCTGTCATTCCTGGCATAGTAGACCATATGATTGTCTGATTCAAAATGGCTAATACCAGTCCATTTCAGCTCACTAATGCCTATCGATGTTTATGCCTTCCATTTCATTTCTGACGATTTCCAATTTTCCTAGATTCATACTTCATACATTCCATGTTCCAATTATTAATGGATGTTTACAGCTGTTTCTTCTCATTTTGAGTTCTGCCACATCAGCAAATGAAGGTCCTGAAAACTTGACTCCATCTACGTCATTAATGTCAACTTGACTTTGAGGAGGCAGCTCTTCCCCAGTTGTCCTTTGAGTGCCTTCCAACCTGGGGGCTCATCTTCTGGCACTGTATCGACAGTGTTCCACTGCTATTCATAAGGTTTTCACTGGCTTCTTTTCAGAAGTAGACTGCCAGGTCCTTCTTCCTAGCCTGTCCTACTCTGGAAGATCTGCTGAAACCTGTCCACCACGGGTGACCCTGCTGGTATCTGAATACCAGTGGCATAGCTTCCAGCATCACAGCAACATGCAAGCCCCCACAGTATGACAAACTGACAGACACGTGGGGGGGTGGTGGTTACACAGACATATACATATATAAATACTCATAAAGGTATACACTCAAGATTTGTGCACTTTACATATATACACACCTCAATAAGAAGCAAAAAATAATTTAAAGAAAGAATGCTAATACATCAACATTGGCAAGGATGTGGCAACATGAGCACTCCTACGCATACCCCGTTAGTTGGAATACAAATTGGTTCAGTCTTTCTGGGTGGCAATTTGGTACATCTATCCAACATTCCTCGCTGGTGCAAATAGTTAACACACGGTTGCCAACCGAAAGGCTGGCAGTTTGAGTCCACCCAGAATTGCCTTGGAAGAAAGCTTTGGCAATCTACTTCCAAAAAATCAGACACTGACAACCCTATGGAGCACAGTTCTACTCTGATACATACAGGGTTGCCATGAGTCGGAATCAACTCGACTGCTACTAGTTTAGTTTTGGTTATCAAATTTTTAAATGTGTGCTCTTTGACTGGGCACTTTTGGAAATCTATCTTACAGATGTACATACAAATGTACATAATGATGTGTATGTATGTTTCCTGCAGCACTGTTAGTCGTGAAAATTTGTAAAAACCTAAATGTTCATCAATAAAGAGCGGTTAAACAAATATGGATATATCTATATTATAAAAAACTGAATAGCTATTGTTTGGTTTAGAATATATTACACTGGAGGGACATCATGATATATAGTTAACTGGAAAAAACAACTATAGTTGGTCCTATCTATATAGGAGAAAACTATACATGTGATAAATTATATCAGTAGAAGTTCTCTTAACTGATCTTCACTTAACAAATTCACTGTGTTAACCAGAAAGAAATAGTTGTTTCACTGAAAACTAAGTTGAATGCTTGGAAAAGACTCAACAACAAGAACTACTTAAAAAAAAAAACTAAGAATTATTGGTAAGACAATTTTAAAAGACTAGGAAAAAAATCATAAAAATCCAAAAAGAATTTTTACTTTCAATTTTGTGGAAGTGTCTTTCTTACTTCACCTTTAAAGAAACTAAAATTGAACATTTTAAACAATCTGTTACAGGTTAAGTTCATGTAAGACACAAACTACTAACTATAATTTTAGATCCACACTCCAAGAAAACGCCTTGAACATACGCATAAGATTGGCAAATGAACGTATATTTCTAGTTCAGGAATCAACTACTAGTCATGACTGTGTCTACATTCGACAAGAAGGAGGGAGCATTAAGCAAAGGATTCAACAAGCGTTAGGTATGAATGAGCATTAGAAGAATAGTAAACAAGTCACAAATTAAGACCACGTCTCAAGTTGGGAGGTTGAGGGCTGGCAAATTCCCATGCATCCTTTAAAGCTCAAATATCACATCTTCTCCAAAGCATTCTCTAATTTCCCTTCTCATTATCACTCTCAAGCAAGAATTGTTTTGTTTGGGTTCCCAATGCTTCTCAGACCTTTATTAGAGCTGTTATTTCTTTGCATTATAGCTACTACTTTATAAACTATGCATGCTGTTGTTGTTAGGTGCCGTCAAGTCGGTTGCGACTCATAGTGACTTCATTTACAACAGAACGAAACACTGCCCGGTCCTGCACCATCCTCACAGTCAGTTATGCTTGAGCCCATTGTTGCAGCCCCTGTGTCAATCCATCTCGTTGAGTGTCTCCTTTTTTCACTGGCCCTCTACTTTACCAAGCATGATATCCTTCTCCAGAGACTGATCCCTCCTGATAATATGTCCAAAGTATGTGAGATGTAGTTGCGCCATCCTTGCTTCTAAAGAGCATTCTGGTTGTACTTCTTCCAAGACAGATTTGTTTGTTCTTTTGGCAGCCCATGGTATATTCAATATAGATTTGTTTTATTTAGTTGAGTCCTACAAGCTCTTTTACTAGCTTGATAGGATGGCTGGAGGCAGGAGGTTAAATACTTTCAAACCAAACTAAAATGTCCATGCTTAATTCTGTAGGCAATGAGGAGCCACCATTTATAAAGTGCCTGGGTTCTGGGGTTACAGAAATAAGATGTAGTCCTGATCCTCATAATGCTCTGCCTAGCAGAGTATAAGTGCAACAATCTAAGTATTTACAAGGTACAAAGCAGAAATGAGGGAAGGGAAGATGATCACAGAAGTCTTCTGGAAGGTGCAATCTGAGCTAGGTTTTAGTACGTGTCTAGCAAGCACTGCCACCACCCGTCAGTTTGTTGCACTGTGGTGGCTTGCATGTTGCTATGATGATGGAAGCTATGCCACTGGTATTTCAAATACCACCAGGATCACCCATGGACAGGTTTCAGCAGAGCTTCCAGATTAAGACAGACTAGGAAGATAGGCTTGGCAATCTACTTCTGAAAATTAGCCAATGCAAACCTTATGGATCACCTCAGAACATTTGCTTCTCCTGCTCTGGACACATCATCAGGAGTGATCAATTATTGGAGAAGGACATCATGTTTGGTGAAGCAGAGGGCCAATGAGGGCAAGGGAGACCCTCAGTGAGATGGATAGGCACAGTGGCCACAATGATGGACTCAAACATATCAGGGACCATGAAGATGACACAGGACCAGACATCACTTCATTCTGGCGTCCATGGGATCACCATGAGTTGGAGTCAACTTGATGGCAGCTAAGAAGAAGAAGTAAGCATTGACAGGGGATATTACAGGCACAAGATAGCATCAATAAAAGCACAAATATATGGGAAATAAAAAGAGTAGGGTTATTGTTGAAGAGAAAATGCAAGGGTCATAGTGGAAGGAGATGATGCTGGAAAAGCAGTCATGGATTAGGAAGGCCCTTGAACACAACCCCAAAGACTAGAACTTAATCTTGTAAGTCAGTAGCTCTCAAACTGTGCTTTTGGGGTTCAGCAAATGTTTCATTTTTAAAATAAAAATTTACTTAAAAAACCCAAAAACTAATAAAACATGAGATACACTTAACCAAAGGTTAAGTTTTTAGAAACCCCTGAAAACACTAACTTGTTGTGACAATCTTCAGAAAATAGCTTCTACTGCCACCTGGGTGAATACTGTTCAATTTCTGGTAGCTGTGGCATTGACTAGGAAGAAAGGCCTGGCGATCTACTTCTGAAAAATCAGCCAGTGAAAACCTGATGGATCATAACAGTCCATCCTGTTATGCAGGGGGTCGCCATGACTAAAGGGCTGACTCCACGGCAACTAATGACGAGGTGGCATTGACTAGGAAGGTTACAGCTTTGCATTGATCCTTTTTGGATTCTAACTCATATATAATCACGCACATAAAACCCTAGAAGTAAATTCACTACTTTAGCAAATGCATCTACTTATCTAATGCTCTAGCTTCAACCTAAGAGTTAAATGGGCAAAATGGAAATGTCTAACAGTGTGGAATCTTTATGCTAGAAAGGCTAAATGTATTTCTTGTTATAAATTTTGGGGCTTCGTGCCTTTTATATTTGTGAGGAGGCCTACAAACGATTCAACTCTTAAAGCAAAAATTCACCACTCCTCTCCTTCGGGTTCAGCTTAAGTAAAAAGCATCCTGAGATGACATTCTGAGAAATCTGATTACGCTCCCATTTGTAAGCACTAGTCTATGCAAATTAAGATAGTCTCAATCCTGTCCACTGAAACAAAATACTGAAATAAAGTGTGATGCCGAGACTCACAGATTGCGCACCATCATCTAATCCCAATTTCAAGTTCGAATGCATTGAGTCAAATTTATTAAATGTATAATATTCATTCGTACTAATAGTTCTTTAATCTCTCTGAACTGAGATCCCGTGTACGATTCCCTTTGCAAAAGGAGTTATAAGATTTTTTTCTTTTTTTAAGTTTGAAAAACCACTGCTTAATGAAGGAAAGCTACAGGGGTGATCAAATGAATGAATGTTTTAGAAACTAACGGGGCCGCAGACACAGACCAAGGCTGAAACCCCAGTTACGACGCAGTAACAGTAGGCGGCGCGAAACGCTGGACGTGGAAGGAACGAGACCCGACTCTCTGTTGGCAAGGCTAAAGGAGATCACAAATACAATCCAAGTCGGGGCAGGGCTCGGAGTTTCCGACCAGCATATGGCGCAGTCCGCACTCAGGCCCCGTGCCTAGAATCCCGGCCCAACCCCCGGCGCTTCAGCCTCCCTCCGACGGACGAAACTCTCCGCCCCTCTCCGGTAAGGCACGAGGGCTGGACAGAAAGAAAGACCGATCCCAAAGCCGTACAAAGAGGCTTACTAATTTCTCTCAGGGACGCCCGCCGCGTGAGACTTCTCAAAGGAACTTCCACACAGCCTTTACGCGCCCCCGACGCTAAATGGGCCCACCGGCCCCACCCCCTTCCCGTCGTGCTCTGCGGCTGAACATGCGCAGCGCTGCCGGCCTGGTGTCCCTTTTCCCTACGTCGGGAAAGGAGGGGCGACCTTGGGTTAAAAAGGGAGGTGGTGGTGGGGGGGGAGAGACTGGCGTTGGGTGGACTTACGCCTTCTAACTGCGGGACAGTTTACCGTTGAAGCCATTTCTAGATCGCAGCCAAACTTGACCCTTAAAGTTGAGATTGATTCAGAGCCTAGATTTCCTGGATTCAAGACATGACTCTACAACTTTACTAGCTGTGACCCGAAGCGATTTGGCTACTTCTGTAAATCCCAATTTCTTCATCTTTGACTTGGAGATAATTAGTGCCTATGTCATAGGATTCTGAAGATTAAAGAGAAAGGGCCAGATACAGAGTCAATTCCCAGTAAAAGAATTACCCAGACGATAGAGGGGGTGTGCAGGCTGTTTCCATTTATGGAAGCTTTCAGTATATTAAAATTCAAATAATCGTGGAACAGTGTTGCAAAAATCATGGTATATTTTAAATGCTTATATATAACAAATTAATGAAAGGGGCTGCGTGGAAATTTCACAATTATTGTTTATTGCCAACAGTATAGGCCTAGCTTCCTGGGTATTGTGGTATTGTTAATGCCCAGCTTGCATAGTTCACTTTTGCGTGCTCCTACGATTTTAATTTATTTCCCTCCTATCCACCCCTCTTGCCTTCCCATGACTTTGAAGTTTAACTAAGTTTCTCTTAGAGAGGTAGAACGACCTTGGAGGATAGAGTAACTCATCTGCGACGTGATAACAGGGCAAGATGACTTTCAAGCATTGCCACGTGCAGAATGTAACTACCGGAAAAAAACTATAATCTTGTCCATATAAAAACTTCAGCGAGTCTCCAAAGGGGAGACAGGTCTTTTGGAGGGGCTCATTCCCCTCTGTCTCCTGTATATCGATATACAATAAAACACTATTGCTGCTCACCTCACCCCTGTATCAGTATTGGCTTCTGCGGCAGGCGGCTCAGATCTGCCACTGTGGTAACATTAACACTTTCAACGCCTAAAAAAGAGCAGGATAAAATTTTGTGCTATCCCAAAATCGTGTTTTAAAAAATCACATTAGGATTATAAAAAATATATAAAGTTATATGATGTATTTATTGCAATCCTGTTCCTGGCCATAACTTCTTTTTTTATTGTGGTAAGTATATATGTAATAAATCGCTTGCCATTTCAGCGTTCTTCACATGTACAATTTGATGATATCAGTTTGACCATAACTTCATAAGGACAAATTTTCAAAAATCTAAATTTGAGGCCCTTTGTGAATGTGAGGTCCAGGCTAAAAGTACCTACCGACCCTTGCTGCTATCGCCCCTAAATAGTCTCTGCTGTTAATCTCAAATTCAAATCATTTGGTGACTTTGAATACTAGACTAGTAGCTGAAGTTAATTTTTCTAACAGTTATTCTTACCTTCCATTCATAATAATCTATTCTTTTAGACTGTTAGAATTGGAAGGTAACCCAGAACTGCCCATAGATGGGTGCAGACTGCCACTCTAATGCATCCATTTTACGAAAGGGGAAAGTGAGGGCCAGAGAGTAAAGGTAATTTACCCCAAGTCACACAGTGACTAGTAGCTGGGATTAGACTAGAATCCAGAAAAGTCCTGCTCTAGTGGGCCTCCAAAGGCAAGTGATAACATCATCACTAACTTCCTTGGGACTAAAAAAATGGAGGATTCATAAATCAGAAAAACTGTAAGGATATGTGATAATTTCAAGAAATTGTACTTCAACCTCTCTGAAAATTTGGCCTAAAGACTCAGGCAATAGACCAGGATGCAGGCCAAGAATTCCCTGGGTCTTTCTTGCCCTGGAGCCTCACCAGTTTACTGAGGTTGAGAGAAACTAAAGAAGGATAGGGTAGGGAGCTGTGGGAGACAGGGAAATCAATTCACTTCTTTTCAATCCTATTCTTCATAGCTCAGCTGGAGAAAATGACCTTCATGGTATGGTAACGATGGTTTAGGGGTGAAGGGAAGAAACAAGAAAACAAGAAACTGGAGCTGAAAGGCATTTCCCAACCTCAGAAAAATTCACTTGGGAATGTGTAGCACAGGGGTAACTTTTTTAATACCAGGAGCATGCAGGAAATAGGAAAGTAACAGTAAATTAAATCAGTGAGTTAGGTGTAAGAGTGTGGGGTGTTGGGGACTGCAATGTGGCTTAAAGGGGCAATTGCTAGTGTTAAAAATCATATTAAGCCAATAATAGAAATTGATCGAACATTAATATATGATTTGCAAATCGAGGTAACATTTTAACTAGAGAATCAAAAATGTTCCAATGAAGAAGGATCTTTCACAGGTTTTTATATTCCATCTTATGGCTAATAATTATACATTGCCATGGAAACAAGGTCAGAACAGTGTTTACATAATAACAATTTACCCTAAAACACAGCTTCTTGTTTTAGAGTTTCTGTTTCTTGAAACTGACTGTACGTAGATAATTCTTCTAATTCTTCAAAAGAGCACAAGGACCAAGGAGAACATTCTATACAAATTAAGCTAGACTATTGTCTGACCTAAAGGTGACTTTTAGAAAACTAGTTTTTTTAAGGCTCAAGGTTTAAAGATCGTCTCAGGGCCACAGTTTGTGTGGCTCACCTCAACCTCTATGGAGCCCAGAAATCTGTATTTCATGTGAGTTAAAACTCTGTTTCTCATTACTCAGCTCTGATTGTTGCTGTTCAGGAATGCAAGACCCAGTGCTGGCCAACTTTCCAATTTCCAAGAGAAGTCTGAAATTCCCTGGCTTAAAAAAAATGTTGGAAACCAATTAAAATTTTTAGAAATGTTAGGTATATGGAATGTAACAATTCTTGGGCTAAATCTGGTTCATAGGCTGTCTATTTGCAATCTTTGTGTTGTATGGCTGCTGGTCAGAAGCCCGGAGTCCCTTATGGTGCAAACTGTAAACGCATTTGGCTGCTAACCAAAAGGTTGGAGGTTCAAGTCCACACAGAGGCACCTCAGAAGAAAGACCTGGTGATCTACTTCCGAAAAATCAGCCATTGGAAACCCTATGCAGCACAGTTCTACTCTGACATACATGAGATCACCATGAGAGTTGACTCTACTGACAGCAACTGGTAGCTGGTCTGAAGCCCAGAAGTTAGCAATCTATACTGAGTTTTGAATGTTAGTTCCTGCCAAAGGCTGCTCATCCTTTAGTTTAGCCCCTGGAAAACTGCCAAAGAGAGAGAAACAGGCTCTATTGTGCGAAAGTCAAAACCTGCTGAGCTAAACCCTGAAGAGGCTTTACCCCAGTGTCACTGGGGCTAGAAAGAGAAGAATCCAAGAACTAAAGGAAAGAAGGTTCCACTGAGAAGGCACATCTGGTTTTGCTTTGTTTTTAATTCTATTTTTCAATTAACATGTAATAAAACTATTTTGGGGGGAGTGTACAATTCTATGAATTTTAACATTTGTATAGATATGTGTAATCATCACCATAATCAAAATACAAAACAGTAAAAACTACCATCACCCAAAAAATCTCCCTCATGCTATCCCTTTGTAGTCACAACCTGCTCCTACCTGAGCCCCTGGCAACCAACTGATCAGCTATTTGTCACTATGGTTTTGTCTTTTTGAGAATGTCATATGAATGAATCATACGGTTTGTAATCTTTTGAAACTGGCCTCTTTCACTCTGCATGCTTTTGAGATTCATCCAAGTTGCTGTGTATACCAATAGTTCATTCCTTTTTATTGCTGAGTAGTAATCCATTAAGTGGAGCCCTGGTTGCGCAGTGGTTAAAGCACGCAGCTGCTAACTGAAAGGTCTGTGGTTCTAACCCACCAGTACCGCTCCACTGTAGAAAGTTGTGGCAGTCTGCTTCTGTAAAGATTTACAGCCTTGGAAACCCTACAGAGCAGTTCTACTCTGTCCTACAGGGTCACTATGAGTTGGAATTGACTCGACAGTAGTGGGTTTGGTTTGGGTTTAGTAATCCATTCACCCATTGAAGGACACATGGGTTGTTTCCAATTTTTGCAGTTACGAATAGAACTGCTATATACATTTATGTACAGGTTTTTGTGTGAATATATACTTTTTGTTTCTGTAGTGTAAATACCTCACAATGAGTCAGAATCAACTGGATGGCAACTTTTGTTTTTTTAGGGTAAATACCAGGAGTGGGATTGCTGAGTCATGTGATACACGTATGTTTAACTTGACAAGAAACTGGCAAACAGTTTTCCAGAGTGTCTGTACTATTTTGAATTCCCTCCAGCAATGTATGAGAGTTCCAGTTGCTCTGCATCCTTGATAGCACTTGTATTGTCAGTATTTTTATTATTTATTTTATTTTAGCCATTCTAATAGGTGTATAGTGGTATATCATTGTGGTTTTAATTTTCACTTCCTCAGTGGCTAATATGTTGAGCATCTTTTCATGTGCTTATTTGCCTTCTGTATATCCTCTTTAATGAAGAATCTGCTCAAGTCTTTTGCCCATTTTTAGAATTGGGTTGTTCATTTTTTTAATATTCAGTTTTGAGATTTCTTTATATATTCCGGATACAAGTCCTTGGTTAGATATGTGATTTGCAAACATTTTCTCCCAGTCTGGAGCTTGTCTTTTAATTCTCTCAGCAGTGTCTTTAGAGCAGAAGATTTTAATTTTGATGAAGTCCAATTTATCAATTTTTCTTTTATGGATTGTGCTTTTGATGTCATGTCTAAGAACTCTTTGCCTAACCCCAGTTTATAAAAAAATTTCTTCTATGCTTTCTTCTTAAAATTTTATAGTTTTACATTTAGATCTATGACCTGTTTTGAATTAAGTTCTGTGTAAGGTGTGAGGTTTAGTTTAAGACTTCATTCTTTTTCAAAATTATTTTAGCTGTTCTAGTTCCTTTGCCTTTCCATATAAATTTTAGAATCAGCATATATATTTTATATATATATAT